GCTGGCTGAAAAAGCTCCGTGGCACAATCTTGCTTAAATTTTGGCACGGAACTTTTTAAGCCAGCCCCCAGGGACGAGAGGGAGCACTGCAAAGGATGGGGGAAAAAAGACTGCTTTCAGCTTTTTTCCCTTCTTTGCAGCGTGAAGCCAGCCCTGCCCCCTCCCAGGAGCTCCAAAGAGGGCTTTGCGGTGGGAAGAAGGAAAAAAAAGGCTGCTTTTGGCTCTTTTCCCCTTCTTTGCAATGCAAAGCCAGCCCTATAGGGCCTAGCAGCTAGGCCGGGCATGCCTTATCAGCAGTGGGAGCAAGAAGACGGTGGCAAAGATCAGCTGGGGTGACAGAGTGCAGGGTGTCAGGAGGTCAAAAGGGCAGATGTAGGGGATAGATGGGTGGGTGGGTGGAGTAAAAGTGCCCTTGTGGTTGTAAGTGTGGGTAGGTTGCCAAGCACCCAAATTTTGATCACATGGCTGTGGGGGCACAGCAACAGTCATAATTTCGGCCACAGGACATAAATCTCTTTGTTCAGTGCCGTTACAATGTCAAATGAATCAGTCTCTGAATGAATGGTCATTAAGGGAGGACTACCCATAAACAGAAATAATATAATACAGAACAAAAATGACTTACAACATGCCCAAATTATAACAATATTGATTAAAAGGAGTGTTTCTTATCTGCATTCAAAACAATTCAGTAAAAATCTAAAATGGAACAACTTCACGTTACAGATATAATCACTCAATTTGACAGAGATTAAAAAAACATTTTAATCTTTATTTGTAGAAATCAGATGTCAAAGACAAGAATACTATGAGCATAAAAATATCTTTACACACACACATTTTTTTTTTTTGTGATGCTTTCAAGTCAGGTTGACTCCTGGCAACTATCTGGGCAAATCCCTGCAGTTTTCTTAGCAAGATTTCAGAATTGGTTTGCCACTGTCTGCTTCTTCCTAGGGCTGAGGGAGAGGGACTGGCCCAAGGTCACCCAGATGGCTTTGTGCCTATGGTGAGACTAGAACTCACGGTCTCCTGGTTTCTAGCCTGGTGCCTTAACCACTATGCCAAATTGGAAGAAGAAAGGATATGGATTAAAAATCAATTAAACTACTACGCAGTGGCTATGCAAATAGTGAAGGTAGAGGTTGTGATCACCTGACTGAAGCCTCTTTTGTATGTGCTTTGACATCCTGTGCACATAACAAAAAGTTGCAGCTCCAATCATATGGAAGCAACTGCAATCTTGACTTTTTTTACCTTCCCCGTGGATGCCCGTGGAACAGTGAAACATATAGCTTCATAAAAGAAGTAGAAATTGACTTAACACCCTAATCTTAAACATAAGATTCACTAGAGTTTTGGGCGTGGAGGGTGGAATAAGGAAGAACACGGTATTTTACACTGTTTTCAAAACTAGATTCTGAATGTAATACAGATTTTGGATTTGAGTGTAAAACTTACTCCTTTCTGAGCTGGTTAGACATATGATTCACTTTGATGAGATCATTTAGGTCTTGGTATCTGCAAAGATGAAACAAGGCAGTTTACCTCTTTGTATATTTTTGTGCATTTGGTACCTGTGGAAAAGAGTTTTCACACAGGAGTAGATACTTACTTGCTCTGCTCTCTGCGTACCAACTTTGGGGATTAAAAGGAACACTGCCCTGGGGCCGAAAGGTTATTGTTTGATATGTGATTTCCTTTGGGATGCTCTTAAAACCTCTTAAATGGAGCCAAGGGGCACCTCATTTGTATTTTTCTATGTTTATGCGAGCGTCAGGAGAAAAAGTAGGCCATTGCATGGGAGGAAGGAAAACTGCTGCTTAGCTGTGGCCTGGTGTTAAGAGATGTACCCAGAAAACAGATGAAAATAAGAAATAGAAAATGGTTTGGAGCAAAAACTCATGGCCTGCATAGCAGGAGAGCTACAACAGAAGGGTGAAACTGGGTTGCTGTAGGGAAGGGAACGCAGGCTACACCCTAACCAAAAGAAGTCAAAAGATTCTCAATCCCTAATCAGCTGCTGGTAAAACATCCACTGTTATTCAAGCTTAATCACACTGATAAAATCATAACTTGGTAATATCAAAGACACTAGACCATCAGAATGCTGGAGAATTCATCTGTCCCAGTTTTGTCCAATAGGCCACTCTGTAGTACAGAATGAGGATGAGAGGGTAGGTGATCTATAAGATGGGAGTGTATACCACTGGCGGTACTTCCTGAATGGTTATTGCCCCACTTTTGTCAAACCTCTTGAATTACAGCTGAAAGTCCTGACTTCGCTCCCATCTGGGTGTGTTTCCTTTCAACTTCAATGTGGTGGTGTATAGAGGCCAAATGCCAAAACTTTGTTCCAATATTTCTGGTCCTGACTGTAAATAAAGTAAGATTCGCTTGGGGTTTTGTCAGGCAGGGGACTGGGAGGGACAATGAAAGTTACTGTTTTCAACACTAGATTATGAATGTAATATAAATGCCCAGTGTGGCTGCAAATCTCACCTCCTGTCATGCTGCTCAAATGTACAATTCACTGTGATGAAGTCATCCAGATCTTGGTGTCTGCAAAGATGAAACAAAGGTAATTTATTCTTAATATATTGTGAAATTAAACTGATATAAGGGCGTAGGGGGAGGAGGAACTTCCAGTTCCAAGCAGCACACCTGAAGGTTTAGCCTCCTACAATCTTATAATCATTTTTTCTATGTTACTTACCTTATACGATCTGCAAATTACAGTAAAAACCCGTTAGAGGTTAAAACATTCTATGTGTGCATTTTCAAAGCAGGAAACGTAACCTCAGCAAGAATTAGTGAAGCAAGTTTAATTACTTTAAAATAATAGCATTTATTTACATGAAATAAATTATAGGGATAGCCAAAGTTGAACGCCTAGCTGGCTACATGCTACCAAGAAGAGAGTCAAGAGCATGTACTCTCTGCAAGTGTCCCTGGGAAGAAAAGGAGAAGGAAGTGACCTCAGACAGCAATCTTATAGGCAAAGAGACACGTAGTGATAGACATTGAAAAAATTCTTATCTATCTAAACTCTATTGGAACTTTGGTAGAGGAGGAGTCATGTAAATTTAATGTTTTCAGTCTACAGCTCCTGGGAACTGAGCAAAGGAGTAAGGAAATTCTGCTATATGGTGCCTACCTTCATATCATTTTGCTATTCTTTGATTCAGGATTTCCTTCTAAATATGGGGCTATGTGAAACTTCAATTAGGTATTTTCATTAAAGCAGATCTGATTGAATTTTCAAATCCAATCAAGTCTGTGAACTGAATCAGGAAGTCAAATTGAATTACCAAACTAAAGTAGATGCCTCAAATTGACTAGATTTTCCAAACTGATTCAGAGTATTGATTCAGAGCAATGATCTAAACAAAAGTGATTATTTGGATCAGACTGAACCCCCAATAAACTGTGCATGAAATAGAGACCCCCCCTCCTCAACAAAATATGAAATAGGAACTCCCCCTTCAACAGTTTTAGGTTTGATTGCAATAAGTGTTTTCAGGTTACTGCTTCTTTAGAAGCAAAACAAAACCAGTGAAGGAAGCCAGAATCAGTGACATATTTCATATATCTGTTTTAGCTTTTGTTTCAATATTGCTCTTTTTTAATCAGCATTTTTTATTCTTAGTCAACCACAGTATTCCTTTTTATGAGATGTGATATAAATTTGACACATAGATGACGGATTAAACAATATGGCTGCATGGTACTAAGTAGAAAAGAGGATATGTATGTATTAAACTTTCAACAGGCAACATGGAACTCTCTAAGTTCACAGAGGAACAAGTTTAATGAATAAAGCAATTACCACCACTTTACCAATGTAATAGTTTTTCTAAGGGAAGGAACAATGGAACACTTTTTTCAAACCAGATTAAGAACACAACATAAATGTCTGATGTGATTACAAAATCTACATTTTGTCATGCTTGGTAGATGTATGATCTACTCTGATGAGGTCATTCAAGTCCTGATGTCTGCCAAGATGAAATCAAGTGAAAGATATTAACATGCATTGCATTTTGATTAACTCAGGGAGACATCCAACATCAGTTATTAGTATCACCCTTCTATTGCTAGTGTAAATCTAAAAATGTTAGAATTGTGTTAGAACTGGACTCTTCTACAAAAACATGATATTATAATATTTATGTTGTTGTAGATCTCCATTCTATGTATGGTGAGCATGTTTTGTAATGAAAAATCTATCATTTTCAGGCTACAACTTCTGGGAACTAAGAACTGCAATAGGGGAACACTGATATTATTGTAATATCTGTGTTTGTCTTGAAACCTAATGTTTTCCTTCTAAGGCCCAGTCCCCACTTAAACCTAAGCATGACACACACATGCCCTGGCTCAGCCTCATTCTGCCAACTTGCCTTTGTCTCCAGACCATGAGGGTGGGAGGGGGGCAAACGTAAGTCACTGTTAGCTGTACCAGTACTGCAAAAATATTTTTCCTCTTCTTCTGACTGTATCCAAGTACAATCTTAAAGAATATAAATTCTGTTAGTGACTGGCAGTGCCTTGAAACAGCCATTAAAAGCAAGACAGCGTTCAGCAGAGACAGCAAATTTCATGCCCTACAGGTAGTCCTCATTCAGCGACTGTTTACAACAATGCTGAACAAGTGGTACTTACAACCAGTCCTCAAAGTTCCGGCAGTCCTATGACAGTTGCAGTGTCTCATGGTCATGTGATTGCCATTTGCAACTTTCACTGACAGCTTCCAAGGAGTTAATGGGGAGACTGGCAGGGAAGGTCACAAGTCACTCTGGTAAGTCTCCCACACCCAGCAGCACTCACCCCAGCCCTGCTGCACTCATAACTCACCAGTTCCTCGTGTACCCTCCTGTATCCTGAAGCAGCCACCCCAGCCCTGCCACAGTCACACTGCAGTGCACCTTCGCACACCCTGCAGCAGTGACCTCTAGCCCTACAGTTTGCGCTGCGCCAGCCCATCATGCACCTTCTCACACCCTGTAGCAGCTACCCCCAGCCCTGCCACACACATACCATGATGGCCACTGTGGACCCCTGCGCACCTCCCCCACTCAGCAGCAGCCATTTACCTGCCTGGTCTGCTTGTGAGACATCTGGGATTTGCAACTTCCTGCCAGCTTCCCCACTGACTTTGCTTGTTGGAAGCCAGCATGAAGTTGTGAGGAGGCCCTTGCTTAATGACCTGCAAACCTTGCTTAATGACAGTAACGGGAACTGCTGGGATTGCTGTCGCTAAGCGATGCAGTCACAGGACTTACAGTTTATGACTGCATTGCTTAGCGATGGAAATTCCGGTCCCAATTACCGCCGTTAATCAAGGACTACCTGTATACTTTTCTGCAGCGTCAAGGATGGTGGGAAGCGGTATAAATTAGTAGCGAAGGACCTATACCAAAAACTGAATAGAGACTTACTCCTCCTCACTGTTATCTTTGACTGCAATGAGACTGTCCAGGTTGCAGCTTCTTTAAATATGAAACAAAATCAGTACAAAGATATTTGTATTCCTTTTAATATATTTGTTTTAACATCTGAATTAAAATTCTGGATTCTATCAGCAAGTTGCTATTATTATAGCAACACTGACATTATTTTAATAAAAAGATGAGTTATAAATTTAACAAATAATGTATATGAATACTATAGCTACATTTGGAAGGAAAAACATATGCATATGTATGCATTAAAATTCAGTAAGGAAACATGAAAGTATAACTATTGCCTCCTTATCAATGGTTAGATTCACATGGTTTTTTGGGGTGGGGTGAGAATGACAAGGGAAAATTAAAATAATCCTCTTTTCAAAAATTAGATTAAATGAAATCTAGGTGCTGATTTGACTTGAAGACTTACCCCTTGTCTTGCCATTTAGATGTAGGATTCACTTTGATGAGGTCATCCAGGTCTTGGTACCTGCAAATTTGAAACAAAAGCAAAGGTGATTTATTCTCATTATAGTCTAAAATTTACTTGATAACAGAAGCAAAACAGAAAAAGCACCACCAGTCTCTAATAGCTGCATTCTAAAGGCTATGGATGTGATTCTATCTTCCCTACCTTTGTACAATTTTACAAGCAATTTGAAAGACAAACGCTACCAAGCATGGTCCTTCTAAGAAATCACTGACATTTCTTGATAATTTCCACCTTCAGAGGATGGCAGAAGGCACAAAGGGAATAGCTATCCTTGGCTTTATTAATTAATAGGAACATTCAATTGGAAAAAAGGAAGAGCAGATACTTTGTAGGAAAGTGACCATGTGTAGTGAATAGGCAAGCCCTCTTCTAGAGGCAACTGCTAAACTTTACTCAAAATAAGTCTCACACTGTTGCAACATAAGATCCACATCTTTTGTATGTGTGTTCAATAACATGACACACATACAAAAGGAATGGAGCTTGTGTTGTGTCAGTTTTGCACTACTTTTGTATGTGTGTCATCCCTCTCTACAGATGGCCCTGCCCTCCTCTCCCACATTCATCATCTGGGCTCATTTCACCCATCTATCAGCTTTTCAAGGTAGGTCACATAATGAAACAGACACTGCAAGGGCTACTAGAACTCTGTTGTTGTAAGGCGTAACAACAGAATCCGGAAAGCCTGCCAGAGTCTCCTTCTGCCCCCACTTATACCATATAGAATCAAGGCAGGGTTATTTTGAGTCTCTTTCTCATGGTCCCTCTTTTCCCAGGGCTGAGATGTTGTTTATTGTCTCTTTTATCTAATGGATCTTGCCTTCTTTGCACCATCACAAGATGGATGGCTGATTCCCAGACATGAAATCAACCTATTTAACATGTAAGCCATGTCTGGGAACATGTAGGTGAGCAAGGAAGCCCAGTCCGAACAGTCCCAGGTGAGGCAAAAGGGAATACCCTCAGTGCCTCCATCTCTGGGGGGAAAGCCACTGTTTTCAGGATGAACTGAAAGAGAAAAGGAGGGGAGTCTGAAGACAAGAGAGCCTCTTTTAAGAGGAAGCCTGGATCTTCCCCCCCAAAAAAGTTAAATTTAAATCAGGAAGAGGATTTTGGATTCTGTGAATTGTCATTTGGGCAGATACAGGGGAACAATTTGGCTAAAACCCTCCTCCAGGATTTTATGCTTTATTTTAAAGCAAGCCCAACAGGGAAATGCCCTAAAGGGTTTTGTGCTTGTAATTGTCTCTAGTTTCAGGGTCTGTTCATATGGTATGTGGGCTTTTTGACATGGTCTTCCAGTCATCTGAACTGTCTTTTATACCATCCTATGAGATACAATTTCTAAGATTCTGCCACTGATTTTAGCAGAAATAACCACTATTAGAGAAAATAATCCTACAGTGATTTTAGCAGCACTGTAGGATTATTTTCTCTAATAGTGGTTATTTTCATAGAAAACTTATACTGAAATGAAAAGTTTTATCCCTCTTCTTATTTTTAAAAGTTCACAATTAATGCTTCTTATATTGTTCTGACTCTCAAGGGAAGGGGGCACTGGCACATGTAAAAAAAAAGAGGCAGTGCTTCAACCATGTGGTTGTCACCATCTTGATTTTT